AACTATGTACCCGGCTGATGTTGTTGCGCCCTGTTTCCCTCCCTGCTGTATGCTATACTCCTTTATGTATGTCCTTTGTATTGCCTTCGGCCTCTGTGCTGTGTTTCGTTTTTTCATGTCCTCCTTGCCTACTCTGCTGTGTTGGGTACCTTGATCTCGCTTTTGCTGTTTTGTTTTTGTACATCTAGCTGTCTGCCCATCTGCCGCCTCTGTGTCCTGTTTGCTCCGTTACTCCCATGCCCTGGTGCGTAGTGCCTGGCGCTGGTACGTTACCCTTTGATTTTTTCTTTGGGCGGGTGTGGGAAGCGTCCTCCTTTATTTTTGTTTGTTTGATTTTGATCGGTTTCCAAGGGCTCTTTTCTCGAACGGTCGGTGCGGTACCTGTTCTTTTCTTTCTGTCATTTTATTTTCTTTGTCCGAGTGGTTTGTACCCTATCTTTGTTTTGTTTCCCCGCGGCGTCGTATGTGCCGGGTTTTGAGACCACGGGCTCCCCATTTTTTGTGGACTATAGAGCGAATGTGAGAAACAACAACAACAACAACAACAACAACAACAACAACAACAACTCCCTCTCCACCCTCTGACCCACCGGGAGCTGTCGGCAATTATATAAAACAAACGTAACGAACGGCGACATCGGAAACACTGGTGAGGTGCGTAGTATTGTTGTTCTGCTGCTGCTGTAGTCCCCCTGGTGAGCAAGAAATAATCGTGGCCGTTCGCGAACTATCGACTCTCTATCCTCCCTGTCCCTGTGGTGTAGGGGCAGCCAACAATAAACAAAAAACAACATGACTAAGCAGCACGGACGAACTACGACCTCAATACGCTTGCCGTCCGTGCTGATGCGCAGCGATACATGAGCAAGGCGTCCACTGGTCTCATAGCTAGCTTACTTGGTCATGCGTAAGATCGTGCTGTCGTCCACCTCATCGCTCAAGTTACGTGCTCTGCTACGCAGAAGACGGTCAAGTTTCGCACGTAGCAAGATCATGCGTAGCATGCGGCGGACCGTCTGTTGTTTGTCTCTTCAACTGCTGCTGAGCGCGGGTGACGACAAGCTTTGTGATGACCCACAGGAAAGAGTAAGAGACGTGGATCGCTACCTACTCGATGAGCAACGCGTGCGACGCAAATCGACAGAAACGGACCTTATAAGCTTTACAGCACACTCTGAGCATATTCAGCAGCCGCATGTGTACAACGGTCAAGAATCACAAACGCAACAAAATAAAAAGAATATGGTGGCGTGCAGCACGCAGGACCCCCTTTCTCTTTTCAACCTACCGTTCCCATGGCGAAACGGACAAGGAACAGTCAGGGCCAAGTCGTGTCGGACACGGGGGGTGGAAGGCGCTCAAATTCGCCGAGGGTTCATGGTTTGCGGTTCCCTACCGAACCATGCTTGAGGCGTCACGAGATTTGCACTGTAGCTCGAGATCAGCACTTGAGACCGGGTCGGTCAAGGGGTGGGGGATGCGAATGAAGATTCCACCCACGGATATCGAACGACGAGACTGAAGCTACAGCTTCAGAACAAATACAATATAGCGGCCGTTCGTGGCCCGAACGAGGAACTCAGCCTCCGCCAAGAGCCAAGACTAGCTGTTGTTGAGTTCGGACGCTATCTGTAATCGAAGCGCGGGCCTTGGAATGTGCTCTCTTTTCGACAAGTTTTTCCGGCGTTTTTTGCTCACGTCATCGATATTGAGCGGGTGGAGCGCCGTGTTGGTAGTCACACCTCTGTTGAGAGAGTAGTTCTTCCTGATCTCGGCGATCAGTTTTCTACGCTGAATCCAAGATTGTACAAGGCCAAGTAAATATTTATGAGGGTCGTCTTGGAGTATTGAGCAATCAAACACGGCCTCCCGGTTTGCGGAGTCCGTACTTGAGCATCTAAGCAGTAGAGGACATCATGGAGCATCGACTTGACATGCGCGTTTCGACACGCCCAAGATCTGTCGGTGGACCCGAAGAGTTCGCAAATCTGGGTCCATACCTTTCACGATCCACTTCCTACACACGCCACCACAGACCCAATCCCCCGACCGCGGTTATGCAAGCAGCAGCTGTTATATACCAGCATTTCCGGGGAATGGGTCTGTGATGACGCGTGTATCACGTGCATCGTGCACGGTATGGACCCAGATTTTGCGGGGGGTTCTGAGCGCAGCTGCAGGCAGTAGAAGTGGGCGTGCCCAATGCGCATGTCGTTGCTCCATGGTGTCCTCCTCTGGTTTAGTTGTTGAAATTGGAACTCCACAACGCAATGGCCGTGTTCGAGGACTGGCCGTGTCGCCTCGTTTTGTCTTGGAATTATACTGCTGGAATTTTTGTTTTGGTTCGAGAGTACAAGTGTGTGGAGGTCGATCGACACCGCGATTCGCTGGTGGAGACAAAACCCCAATGACGGTGATGCTCCGTGCCACAACGGCGGTGATACTTCTTCCGGGAGCGCGGCCGGCACCCTGACCGCACGTATCCCCAATCAACAAACGGTTTTTCCGGGGTATCGTATGGAGTACCGTACGACAACACGCAGGCACAACAGTCCATGGAAAAGATGGCCAATGACCAAGTATTTCATGCTGCCACCCTGACCGCACATGTCCCCCCCTGGCCCCCCTCAATCAACGCACGTTTTTCCCGCGATTTCATGTGGTTTTCCGCAACAGGCACCACAGTCAGCGGAGAGATGACCAAGAAGTGTTACTTTTTGCTGCCACCCTGACCACACCTATCCCCCATGAACACACGATTTTCTCGCGATTTCACGTGGAAAACCGCAACAGGCACCACCGTCCGCGGTGAGATGACCAAGAAGTGGTTTTTCTTCAAGGGGAAGCCGAGCACGGCCGAGGGAGTGGAACACCTGCGCATCTTCGGCGGTAGCGTCTATCCCGAGCTCAGCCAGGACGTGTGCAAGCTCCTCGGCATCACGGAGGGGAAGATTAACCTAGGAAGGTGAAGGGGGGGTGTCGGAGAAAGTTCGGTCGGCCTGCAGACGAGAGTGTACCACGATGATGGTGTTCTCGTGCTCTAACGTTCGTTGATTTATGACCAGACATGTTTCTGTGTAGGGTTTCGGATGTTGATTTTCGTGCGTGTGCTGCTCTGCTCCTCTGCTGCACTTTTGGTTCAAGAAGACCAACATGATTCCATCCAGAGGTAGCAAACCCCCACCGCTCGCCTGTGTTGCCGCAAAAGGTACGCTGATGGGGAGTGCAGCGTGGCCATCGGGGAGACGGTCGCAGGGAAGGACGTGTTCATCGTCAGCCCGACCCACACGAACGACAGCCTGGTCGAGTTGCTGCTAACGATAGCGGCAGCCCGAAGGTGCATTGATTATTAATGGTGTCATGTGTTTGGACCCTTGTGTACGATGGTGTTCCCGATATATCGCGGTATAGTGTTTTTTTTTTTTTGCTTCGTTCAAGAAAGGTGTACCCCTCTTTGGGTAGTTGGCGGTCTATGACCACGGAAGGCATCGTCGGCATCGGTTGGACCGGTACGGATATTGGAAGGAACCAAGCGGAGACCGGAACGGTTTTCAGTGTGAAGAAAGCAACAACAGCAACAACAACAACAACAACAGCAACAACAACAACGACAACCAGGGATCGCACTGCCGATGTCATCCATCGCGCAGGTCGTCCGCCGAGCGTATCACGGCAGTTATCCCGTTCTACGGCTACTCGCGACAGGATCGGCGCTTTCGGAGGGAGCCCATCGCCGCCGCCGACGTGGCGCACATGCTGGAGGCGGCGGGAGTAGACCGCGTCATCACCATCGACCTTCACAGTGGACAAGTACAGGTGACGATGACGGAAATGCGGTCATTCCACTACGGGACAGTAGTAGCCTAAGTGAGGGTGTTACCTTGGTTTTAGTAGGGTTTCCGGGGTTCGCGGTTTGGGAAGGGGTTACGACGCCCTTTTCTCTGCTTCACATATTTATAATAATAGCCATCCTCTTGAAGCGGTCCCTACGAAACGAGCGGGCGAACACCGTAGGTGGCGTTGAGTTACCACAACTCGTGGACCGATTTTTCAGAGCTCGGGTCCTCTGCAACAGAAACAGCAGTGATTGCTGTGCCGAGCGATGTCGGCGTTGGAACAAACCGCCCCGTGATACGCTGTGCCTGAATTTTTTTTTCTCTCCCGAGAACGCCCCTGGGGGGCTTCCTTTTTTTTTTTTTTGTTCTTGTGTCTCCTACCGGGCAAGTTGTAGGCGCCCTACGTTACGTTTTTCGGAATTATTTTTATTGAACTCCCCTTGGGGCGTTCACTCCGTGCTACACGGACCCCCCCCCTCCCCCTTCCCCCCCGCCAACAGGGATTTTTCAAGCCCACCACCCCAGTGGACCACCTAACGCCAATGGGGGTTGCGGCGGCGTATCTCGGGGAGCTCGTGACGGAGGAGCTCAAGGCCATGGCCATCGAAGACCGGGAAGGGAAGGGAGGAGCGGCCGGGACAGGTAGTGGTGCTGTGGCGAAACGATTCAGCCGGGCGAGGCTAGAGGAGCCAACGAGGATCGTCGTCGTTGCTCCGCAGGAGGGCCAGGTAAGCCGCCGCCCCCCCCCCCCGTGGGATAAAGCCAGAAGAAGACCGTAGCTATTTGGGGGCATAGACAGTAGGCTGAAGAGGTGGGAAGTGATGTCGGCAGGATAGATGGGCCAACGTAGCGGAAAGTTGTCGCTAACTTTCGCAAAGAAGGGAGGAATGGTTGGCCGTCGGCGACCCGTCCTGTGGGAACAATGCTCCGTCCCCTCTCCAGGACGCGTGGTCAACGGTCTAACCGCTAAGGCATGCAAATCGGTGCAGGACATCCTGCTCTCTGCGTCGACCGTGCTGGCGTCCTTTCAGACGGGGTGTTGTTGCCGTTGAGCAGCAGGAGGGCTAGGCGAGCCTGCCTAACCCTCGCTTGTCGAGATGACACCATGGGCCTCATCTAGACAAACGAACCGTGTGTGGTTGTCGTTACACAGCGTCGGGCCAGGTGATACTGCCAAGTTTCATCTATTGAGATGACATGACACGATTGTGCCCCACCGAAATCGCCGACACCAACACCATTAACATGAACAAGCGCAACAAAAGCGAGAACGGGTTCTATACCAACACGAACGCCAACAACAACAGTATGAACAGTCGCGACAACAACGCGGACAATAAGAAGGAGAGGTAATAAACAATTACAATAGTAACGACAACGAGAACGAGAACAACAACGACAGCAGCAGACGAGAACGAACGAGCAATAGCATCACACTCACCACTCCAGCAGCGTAAATAGGGGCAACAACAACTAGAACAACAGCAGCAGCAGCAGCAGCAGCAGCAGCAGCAGCAGCAGCAGCAATAATACCTATAATTTAACAAGAACAATACGAACAACGACGACGCGCAGGTGGGAAGAGCGAATGCGTTCAAGAGCCGGATAGAGCAGTACGTGGAGACTGAGACTGACCCGATAGGGCTGGCGTTCATCGCCCGCAGCAGCACCAAGAAGGAGGACGAGGAAGAGGAGGTGCACAAGCACTGCATCGGGGATGTCAAAGGGTGAGATGAGACGCTCCGGCAGGGTAGGGTTATCGCCGGCTTTCTTTCATTTAGATGTTCTGGCCAAGGTGAGCACGAAATATATTGCTATTGCATCCCCATAACTGAAAAAAAAGAGGACACCCAACCAGTTGTATGTGGCAGCTACCACGCGTCCTTCATGCCTGTGTCCTCACACACGTGGGGAGAAGCTACTGCCCATACCTCGAACACGTGGCATACGGCACGAACGAGGGCTTACCTTTTTTTTTGCTCAGTAGGTGCCCTCGCGGTTGACGTACTCGTTGTTGCTGGTGTCGCCATTTTCGTCGATGCTGGTGCTGGTGCTGGAGCTTGTGGTGTTGTTTACAATGATGGTCGTGCTGGTGGTCGTGTTGTTGTTCGTGTAGCTGCTGAAGACACCGACAAGGCATCATGCCAGGCTAGGATAGAATAGGACGCGCCCTTGCGCTGCCGAACGTATTGCTACCCCAATCCGTCTCGATCTACATATCGATAGGGCAGGAAATACAAGTTTGATCCACCTTTTGACAAAGTAGGAAGGAACGATTGGGCCGGTCCCGTGGGAACAAGACTCCGAATCCCTAGCAGAAAACGTAGTCAATGGCGTAAAAACCGCTAGGCATGGAAAACGTTAGTACCCCCCCCCCCCCCCCCCCCCCCCCCCCCCCCCCCCCCCCCCCCCCCCCCCCCCCCCCCCCCCCCCCCCCCCC